GTTTATCTGATAATCTAACCACCTGGACAGGAACCACAAGATCTCTGTTGGGTACTTACGTGGCACACATGACCCAAACTTGTCCGGGAACTCGGAGATGAGGTCATCGTTGATTCTGTCCTTCATAGGCCCCAAGATTATAACCGGTCTGGCATAATTAACTGTTCAAACACATAATACAGACACAGAAAATCAAATTGAACACCAATCACATAATCTATTTACACTTACTGTGAACGTCATACAGTTCAAACATGAGAGACCGTGGAAAGGCACTTACTCTCTTGTCTGATGACGGGCTCATACGAGAGGATCAGCTCCTCTTGACTCCCTGGAAACAGAACAGAAAAACATACTCAGTGGGGTGGGTGCTTATGATAGGACTCAGCTTGCTTTTTGCAGAACGCCGGCGATCATGATGGCCACATTTTGTGCGCCCTTCACCAAGGTCTCTCATCTCAGAGCACAGCTCAAGTGGATGTGTAAATGAGTTACTGAGCATGTAATGTCATAACGTACTTGTTCACAAGGACATTTGCATTAAAAAAGAGAAAAATGAAAAACAGTGGCAAAATTGAGTTAGTGCTCATTTGGGAGATTAAAGGGATTGTCAGAAAGGCTTTGGGGCAATGATGGACAACAGAAAAGCAATTTAATCACGGATGAGACTGAAGTTTCAGACAGTGGCAATACTAATTGAATATAATAGTCCAATTATGGAAACGCAAGTCCAAAGTGACGCTAGTTTGGAGGTGGTCTGCGCACACAGGGACTTGGAGAGCCAGAGGAGTTTATTTTTAGCCCTGGGACGAACAGAAGCAGGTTGCCGCAGGAACACAATATGGTTTTTATCCATCGATTCAAAGCCAGATAGGATTGCATGTTATTCTGAGCCAGAGCTTCCATTTTTCTCATTGACAGTGGTTAAACTATAGAGAATGAATCACACATAAATCAGTTTTGTGTAGTGCTCCGCTCTTACCCAGAACAATTTAGAAGCTGTAGAAATGCTAGATGGCCTCTATTTGTGTAGCTATTGCCATAAACAGAATGAATTTTGTCCATTGAAAGCCTTACAAACACAAAGCACACTCTGAAGCACACTCTGTTCACCAACCTAATGAGCTGCCCACAGAGGCAGAATTTTAAGGCATCAACTGCAGACTCACAACAAAAAAGCTGTTTCAAAAGGTAGGCAACTTAACTTTGTTGCCTCCTAATATTTCTTGTTTGGCTAAATTCTAAAGGCAACACTGCATGTTTATAGTATTACTGATCCAATTCAAGCAGGTGAGGTGAGAAAAATGTTGACTATAAATGAACATTTTATTCAACACTTTATAGTATGAATAAAATGTAGAATTAAAAACAATTCTTTTAACTAATAATGAAATGTGCTAACTTTATGCTTATTAGAGTGGAGCTCTATTGTTAGCACCAGACTCAAATGAAAATATTATTGGGAGTTGAGTCTCACATAGCTGGTCATGCATAATGTTCCAAATCAATAATGTTTTTTAGGATGTCCTCCTAGAAGGCAGCTGTCTATGTAGGTAATAAGCAACAAGGCAGCTCACTTTGAACAGAGCTTGAGTTGTATATTCGTTTGAGTTCTGCAGGAAAGGACGAGTTCTGTGCATTAAATAGAAGCCAAGCTGAGGAGACAGCGTCTAAGAAGACTTTAAAACAAGGTTATGTGGGTTTGATCAATGCCTGGAGTTTGTGGTGGAGACAGATCATACATTATATTGTAAGACTGGATATGACCTTTGCCCTCTGACCCTGATATGAAGCCAGCTATAAGAGCCCACACTTAAGAATTATGCTTCTACTAACATCACATGAAGGACATGGTGACTTTTGTCTCTTATGCTCATCAAGGCTGCATTTATTTAATCAAAAACACAGTAAAAACAGTAATATTGTAAAATATGAATATTAAAGGGGTCATGCGATTTCAAGTTTTCCTTTCTCTTTGGAGTGCTACAAGCTATTCGTGAATAGATAAGATCCCTAAATTTGCGAAGACTAAAGTCTCAAACCCAAAGAGATATTCTTTGTAAAAGTTAAGACTGGTCCACACCCTCCTAAAACGCCTAGTTTAAACACGCCTGTATTTACAACACTGTTCCAGAACAGTTCAACCCAAATATTCAGATGTGAGCAACGCATTTTACGGAGGACGAGGACTGTTTCCTGGGAGAGTCGACTACAATGCCTGTGTTCTGACAAATAATGCTGACTCACAGAATGTAAGTATGCTTTCATATTTAAAGAATTTGCCACTGATGATTCAAACGCGAGTTTTGAGCAGTGTAGAGTAGCGCTTGTTGTTTGTCGTTTCTCCGATCACAAATGCAGACATGGTTTTATGTTTACCATGTGAAACCATATAACATATGGCGATGCAACGCAACGCGTAAAAAGACAGTATAAGTCATTATAATCAATATGTCACCACTGGATGCAACAAATGCCTCGTTTATAATGGGTTTTATTGGTTTTGACTTGTCGTGCCGGGACACGGCATCATATGGTAAGGGTCGTAACATTTCCGTCACACGCTTGAGGTATTCGGCCAATCACAACACACTGGATAGCTGGCCAATCAGAGCACACCTCGCTTTTCAGAATGATGAGCTTTGTAAAAATTTACGCGTTTCAGAAAGGCGGGGCATAGAGGAGAAACTATAATGTACAGTATGTGCAAAATGTTTTTTTTTTTTTTTTACCTTAAACCACATAAACACATTTCATTACACCAAATAATGTTCTTTTTAGCAACGTCATATGACCCCTTTAAATAAAAAAAATAAAAAAACGTTTAATTTATTTCTGTGATGCAAAGCTGAATTTTTAGAAGCCATTACTCCAGTCTTCAGTGTCAACTAATCTTTCAGCAATCATTCTGATTTGGTGCTCAAGAAACACTTCTTATTAACAGTGCTGCTTAATAATTTTGTGGAAACTATAATACATTTTCCCCAACATTCTCTGGTAAATAGAAACCAGAGAATTAGAAATGTAATATTAGAAATGTCGTTACTGTAACCTAATGCATCCTTGCTTCATTCATAAAAAAAAATAAAAAATGACCGCAAACAGTAGTGTATATATATTCACATTAATGAAATGTTTGCTCAAATGTAACTGAAATGTTTATGGCTAAAACTAGTATCTTTCTGCATGTCATAGCAAACAAACTGTAAATGATTCTTTCTGACAGCACATATCATTTTTCATCAGTGTGTTATCAAGTGAGTCCATTTCCAAAATAAATTAAATAAAAGCCACAAATCTTGTTTACCGGCCAACGGGGAAACAAACAAGTCATCTTTCATTATGTTGATGATGGCTGTCTAGATGAGCATCATGCAATATGACAATTACACAGCAAAACCTAATCTGTCCAAAGTGACAAGCTCATCCAGAGAGCTGAATTCACACTCAGTCTGGAAACCTGCCACTCGCAAGAGGAGTACAAAACCTGACAGCTAACGTTTTGGAGCTGGAGTATGGTACTATATCTCCAACAAAACTGACCTGAGTTCATCAGGTTACTCAGTAACTTTTTCTTATAGTAGTACGTTCTAGTTTTCAAGGGTGTTGTAGATTATTATCAGCGGCTCGCTATAAATTTTAACAGTCTAAGTTATTGTATTGGACAAAATTAGACTTGAGTTTCAAGCATAAAATAAAATTTGAAAAAGGAGATTAAATTAAGGACCCAGTACAGAGGAAGAGAGATAAATGCAAAAGAAATATCCTCTATTCTGATCTTATATATCGGCTTTGTTTTCTGTGAACAACTACCGCTTCCTTTCTCTACGTATTGTATCTTGGCACAATACATATTAATTCATTGAGAATAGTGTTAAATATTCCGTTTGACTGATGTGTATTCCCTTAAAACCATATTTCAATAATTGTGTTGGCTAAATTTTTTGATGAGAACATAAAAACACTGTCAAAACACAAGACAACATTTGGCACAGCACTGCAGAGACATCATAAAAGACAAACACAAAAGACTAGATTGTAACCTAGATACCTAGATAAGCAGAACTGTATATTCTGATTTGTTCTGACATGCAAAGGCAAATGGGACTAAAAAAAAAAAAAAATAAAATAAAAATAAAATACTCATATTAAAAAAACAAGCATGCAGGACAGGTGCCATGCTGATCAAATGGGCAAAATCTGTGCTGCTTGTGTGTAGCATTATGATGCTCTGAAGGTGAATTGTTCTTAAAAAGGTTATGAATTGCAAAGAAAAATAAATGAGGTAACATATATGTGACTGAGGTGATTTTAAATGTGATTTTCTAGCTGATTTGGTGAACCTGAGGTCAATACGCTGCCTCATATGAATGTAATTTTCCTGATAAATTACAATCTGTGATGGTGAAACCAGACTAGAATATGTCCAGATCATCCTTTACCACGAAATTAAAAAAAAAACAAAACAAACAATTATATGAATATGAATTATATTAAATCAAGCCTATTTAAGGATCATTCATTAATTTAAGGACCATATTTTTTTTGCATTATGAAATGTTATTGAAATTATTTTCCATCCAACAGTCATTTATTTAATGCAAAACCAAATAGGAAACAAACAACAAAAAAGGTGAATTTTTAGGTTTAGGTTGTATGTAAACATCATTGTAGTATTTTTATTTTTTTTTACTGAATTTAATTAATGCTTTAATAAAAAATTATCCAGACATGAGAATTAGATTTTTTTTTTACATAATAATAATGAAAATCTGAATTTTTATGCTTAATTATCAAGAATGTCAATGGTTCTAAAAATAGGCTTAAATGTCTTAACATTAACAAAATAAATATTTTTTCTTATGATCTTGGGGTAAAATATAACCCAGACATAGATTCACAGATAAATGTTTAGCAATAAAATAAATATACAATTTTAATTTGAGTGCTTTTGTGTGTATTTGTGTGTTTTTTCAAAATATTTTAGCAGTGTAAGAATGAAACCAATAGCACCCCTGATAGTGATTAAAGAGAATATTCATAACTATGCTAATCCTCTCTATTATAATGCACATAAACAATCATATAATCAATGCATTTTCAATCAACACTGAAATCCTATGAGCCATAAACCTGAAATAATACATATACAAGTTGGTGCATCTTAACACAAGACAAAACCACACAACAAAATCCTCAAGTAATCCATCAGTGCCAACACCCCCACCCCTCTCCCATCTTCAAAAGACAGAGGGAGAGAAAAAAAAGAAAGAGGAACAAGAGACAAGAAAGCAAGGGAAATTTGCAGGCCCGGCTGCAATGTTGCTATGGATACTAGCGGGAATCATAAGGCTAAAAATCTGAACAGCGCTGCGGTTGTGTGCCGAACTAAAAATACACCCTACATCCTTCGGTTTTATTCAGTTCACCTCTCAAACACAAACATAAGAAATATTTACTACAGATGACCTTACAATACTGATCTCATAAAAGACGCATTAGGAGACACATTTATGTACAAACGTAATATTGAAGCTGCTTCTGTGAGCTGCGCTGCAGTACTGAGGCTGAGAGCTCAGAGTGAGCTGTCACACTGCGGCAGAAGGATTGAGTCTCACACACACACACTTTCACTCTGACTGACTGACTCAATGACCCACCAGCACAACTTGAAATGGGAAAATAAATTCAAGATGACAGGGCACGACAGAAACTAAGCCGGATAGACTGAAGAAAGGGAAGAGACAGACAGATATTACACTAGATGAGTGAAGAGACACAACAGGGGCTGCTGGTGAACTGTCTAAACTGTCATTAAATCATTGGGCCCTTCCTGCTAATACCTGAAAACTGGGGCGAACAGAATTTGGGATGTTGGCACTGATAAAACCATTTTAAACACAATCACTCAACAAATAGAACACTTACCCCTTTAGAATCGAGGCTACCGGGTTTTGCATTGAATTTAACCGTCTTCAGACGAGCTCTCTCTTTTCTCTCCACCCTGCCACAGTAATAGAGACAAAGTCAGTGAAATGTTCTACACAAATGTACTTATACTACATTCCTATGGTTTCCACAAAAATATTATGCAGCACAAACGTTTGTGTTTGTTTTCGACAAATAATAATAAGAATTGTTTCTCAAGCACCAAATCGTGCATATTAGAATGATTTTTGAAGAATCATGAGACACTAAAGACTGGAGTAATGACTGAATTGCCATCACAGGAATAGATTACATCTTAAAATATTTTTAAATATAAAACTGCTATTTTAAATGGCAAATACACAATATTATATATTTTCTATAATTTTGATTAAACAAATGCAGCCTTGGTGAACTTAAGAGACTTCTTTCAAAAACATAAAAAAATCTTACCATAATCAAAACTTTTTTTTGTCCTAATTTTGTTTTACATGAACATTTTTTTCCCCTGATATGTCAAATCAAACAGAATGTTGCTGCTTTACATTTAAGACTTCTTTATGTAAATACAGATTAGAAATTAATAGACAAGAATGTGATAGGTTAATATTAATGAACGACCCATTTTTGCTGCTTATTATTCACATGGTGTATTCAACACTTTCATATCAGAAGAGGAAAGAAAATTCTGTTTTCCATTTTATGTTCCCTTTAAAGAGCAAACTTAAATATAGGGCAGTAGGGTAACAATTAGAACTAGGGCTGTCACATGTTTTTTTTTATTCAATTAACTGTATTAAAAAATACAGTTCAGTGAAAATATTAACTTGACACTCTACCTTAAAAAAGGGGGTACTCATGTTACATTTTTTAAGAATTAATGAACATAATTTAGGTGGCTGTATTAACTAAATATTGATATATGCAATTTACTGAGATTAATCTGATAACTTGGCATATCAATTAATTTGATCGTATTTTTACATTTCCTGACAGCTCTTATTAAAAAGGTAAGGTTGGATGTGGTTTGTGGTTATTAAGTTACTAAAGGTAGCACAAAACACTTAAAAGGTGGTAATAAATCTGCACTGGTCACAGGTTCAGTCTTCAGTCGTGTAGGTGATTCAGCATGAAACTCACCTCCTCTTGCTGGGGATGACGCCCATCTCCTCACTGTCCCCTTCAGGCGTCACTCTCCTGGCCTGCCACCACTCATCATCAGATGCATTGATGACATGGAGGATGTCTCCATATCGGAAACTGAGCCCCTGACTGGGCAGACCACTATCCTTCGCCCTCTCATAGTCAAACAGAGCCCTGCAGAGAGAGAGAGAGAGAGACACACACACACACACACACACACACACAATGTCAGTTTTACAGACCTGACACATTCACGCAACATTTCGCATCCGTCTGTCACTAAAACAGTCTTGAATTGGCAGTAATGGCTAACGTGTTGTAAAGCAGCATGTGCAGATACAGCTGTGAAAGGTACAACAAGTGCCACTAGCCACGGTCAGCACATATTATAGATTAGCACACACTCCTCATAACTGTGTGTGTTTGTGTAGAATGATGGTACGATGGGAATATGATTGATTAAAAAACAACTGAATGTTTCATTCCAATGCTTTGTAAATCTATAAGCTGTAACAAATAAATGCTGTTCCTTTGATCTTTATATTCATCAAAGAATCCTGAATTTTTTTTTATCATGGTTTACACAAAAATCTTAAGCATCAGAACTGACTTCAGCATTAGTAATAAGACATGTTTCTTGAGCATCGAATTAGCATATTAGAAATATTTCTGAAGAATGTGTGACACACATTGTTTTTTTTAAATTGTGTGCGCCATTATTTGGTCTGTTTTTAAAAATTAAACAGTTGAACAATTAATTTTTTTTCTACTTATTTCCTGTCTCTTCTCTGCTACAGAATAGAAGTAAAAGTAAAAACATAGACTGCAAATACTAAGAATATGTAAATATTATAAACAACAGACATAATATCACATAATATCACTATATATATATATAAATATTATTTTTGATCAAATAAATGCAGCCTTGGTGAGAATAAGAGACTTCTTTCAAAAAACGAAATCTTGCTGACCCTAAACTTGATTGACAGTGTAAACAGGGAAATCAGGTCTTTCTCAAATGCTGCAAACCTCAAAATTTATATGATATATTTCACATCATTTTGAGTGAGAAATCTCAGCTCCTTCACATAATAGAAAACCTCCGGTAAGTGAGAAGCACAGATCAGAAATGCGAAGCCATTTCAAAGGCAATCACAGTTTACTACGCACTCCTGCCATCTGAAGTGGGTGAATCACTATGAGGCGACAGAAGAAACCTCTCATTCATCCTCATATGGAGGAGCACTATCAAGAGAAACAGGCTAGTGTTTCAAGAATAACCATGATTCATGTACTCACCCTTAGAAAGAGACATAAACACTCTATTTAAAAAACAGATTTTACACTGCTGATGTAGACAAAGACCAAATGAATAGAAGAGTTTAACCTGAACCGTTTGAGGGAAGCATGTGCACTGGTGTCTTGAGTATGCACTTCAAAAATAAGCAGGACAAGTAATAGCTGTTTTGTTTTGTTTTTGTACTTTCGATTCTATTCTCAAAATTTTGCCTGCTCCAGTTTTAAAGCCATGCTGTTTTCACTGTTATCTACCTCCAGCAGGGCTGTGTGGATGATCAAGCGGTGAAACACATTAAAAGGAAGCACTATAGCTGAGACGCATCCACACACAAAAGAACAGACAGGCTGCCACGGTCTCCTATAGGCCTGCCCCACTGAGTACACAATACAAGAGATAACAGCAATAATGCCCATTAAACTCCTTCCTCCAGGTACATTTAGTCACTGCAAGCCTAGTCGAAATGCTTCAATGCAGACCTACGATAAGCTGAATCAGAGTTATTGCGTGTCATGTTTCTTTCTATTGTCTATACGGTTTCTAATTCTGTTTGGGTGAAAACCAAGGAGGCCCACTATATGACACCCACCTCCTAACGGCAAATGCTTACAAAAATTGTAAGGGCAATCGAGGCAATTGGGGGGTAAGCAAGCCAAAGTAAACCAAACTTTGACCCCTTGATCTAAATGTAAACACAATAAATATGTGGATGTCCGATAACAAAAAAAAAAAAATAATAGGCATCTATTAAAGACATTTATCATTTTAGAACAAGCTGTTCCTAAAATGCTGCAATGACACCACACACTAAACAGCACTTCTGCATATTCAGCCCTGATAAAAGCTCTCATATAAGAAGAGACTCTCCTGAATAGAAGTGTGAGGGTTTGGGGAACAAAAAACAAACAAACAAACAAACAAACAAAAAACAGGTAATACTAGCACACTAGCTGCATCTTCTCTGTTCACTGCCAGCACTCACATCACCTCTGCTTTATATTACCTTTTGTAACGCATCTGTTTTGGAAAGGAAGGCTATGATGCAGATGCAACAAATGAGATGTAAACAACACAAAACTGGCCTAAAATCAATGAAGGGGCTAATAATGTAATTTAATAAACAAAGGATGAACATCAAGTGTTCATGTCTATATCTTAAAATAGATTATATTTTTGTTTGGATATAAAAAGGTAAGTATTGTAACTGTGATTAAAATGATTCATGAAAAGTTAGATTACATACACTACCAAAAGTTTGGGTCGATAAGATTTATTAATGTTTTTGAAAGTCTCTTTCGTAAGTCTCTTATGCTCACCAAGGCCGCATTTATTTGATCAAAAATACAGTAAAAAAAAGTAACACGGAAGTATTCAATCAATAATCGATATATAATACTGAAATACATTACAGTTTTAAATAACTGTTTTATATATTTAAATAGGGCTGTCAAATCGATTAATTGTGATTAATCGCATCCAAAATAAAAGTTTTTGTTTACATAATATGTGTGTGTACTGTGTATATTTATATGTATTTATAAATGCATACATATACATGTATATATTTAAGAAATATATATATTTTGGATGCGATTAATCATGATTAATCGATTTGACAGCCCTAATTTTAAAATGGAATTTATTTCTGTGATAAAAAAGCTGTATTTTCAGAAACTGTTTATCCAGCAGATCCTTTAGAAAGCAGTAAACATTTATTTAAAATATAATTTTTTTTTTAAAAAACAACAACTTACTAACCCCAAAACTTTGAATGGAAGTAAATACACAGGCTTGATTAAAAATTCCCAAAACAAGTAAAATGTATCTAACATTACACAGCATAAAACATATAACAAACTAAAAATAAATATTTTCTCTGTATATTGTGTTTGTGATCAATATTATCCCAAGGATGAAATCAATAAAAAGATACACAAGCTACACTGCTGTGAGCAGATACAGTACCTGCATGACAAAATGAATGGGTTGCACATAATGGCTGGCACATATGCTGCTCTAATGGATGAAACATTCAATCTCACAGATGTAATTTCACAAGCATGCATTATTCCACAACAAACACAATATTAAGACAACAATCTGCACTTCCAGCTGTATTTTAGCAGAAAACGCTCTAAAAATCATGTGATGGTGCAAATGGCTCCATTTGGGTCACTTTGGTACAACATTATTCATAAACAAATAAACAGATCCATTACAAACCATCCTGAGTGCAAAAAGAAATGATCCACCACACTATACACAAATAAAGTGCTGTCTTCAATGTCCTCGTTAATCCTTGTTTCATTAAAGGATAAAATAAACACACACACTGGAACACATGCCTAGGGAAAAAAGCACATGTTCCCTCTCATCGGCCAATGAAGACTTTGAAGAAGCCAATGAAGAAGGTTGCTATGGAAACTGCAAGCTACTGTACAGTTGAGATAAATAATATTTTTTTATGTTTGTATGCTGGCAGGTTCTCAGCTTATTACTGTGAATTAATTTCTCCATGGCATGATTATGGCAGTGATGCTTCTCAAGACACTTCCAAAAAACAGCATGTGTTAGTGCAGGCTGCTGACAAAAACTCAAATTTACTGTCATATGACACATATTGAATAATGCTCTCTCTCCCCTCTGCAGGCATTATGTGCCCCTACGATAATAAAAATAACATATTCTTGTCTCTAAAGCATTCAGCCGATACATACGATGAAACAGATTTATAAACTACCAGATGAAAGAACCAATCTGCAAACATTCTGTATTGCAAAAGCTGTATCTTATAGCATTATTTATATACAATTATAGCACTTATTAATATTTTGAATGAGCTTTTATATAAACATTTTATTTTTGCATTTTTATGTGTTTTTGTAATTTTTATTCGTTTTTTATTTGGCTATATATACTTACACACAATGTAGCAATTTTAGTACTTTAATTTATTTAATTATTAAATTACAATTTTAATTTAGTTTTTTTATTTCAGTTAGTGAAACAATTTTTAACAGGTTCAGTTAACAATAACAACACCAGTTTAAGTCTGGCTTAGGGCAGGTTTTTGCACTGAAATACTGCATGCAAAATTGCCAAAACTCTTTAGTGAATTCGCCCCTGAGAGATTTTCTCTTGTGATTTATTGTGTGGGTCTTGCAGTAGAGCTGCAGGGCTGAATCTCTGTGTAACTGCAAGAGAAACAGTACAGGTACAGTATGTGTGTAATATACAGTGCTCAGCAGAAAAGGGTACATCCATGGGTGGACAGCATTTTTCCACTACAGCAAATGTCTGTAACATAATTTGTTAAGAGAGAGTGCTGCCTCAGTTCTTGAAAAAAAATGAGTGTAGTATTTGCTAAGCAGTAAGATAAAAGCTGAAGCCATCAGCATGGCAAAAGGGGGAAAAAAGCAATACATCTACAACACGCAAACTAGAAGAAAGTGTCAGAGTGCTGGCAAAGGTGCAGATAATGTGGTGCTTTTACTTGTTACAGAGAAATGTGGTGTTTAAAAGCCCCCTGAGAGTAAAGTGGAGTGGAATCTGTATGTGTAGATCAGCGGCCTCATAGCGATAAGAGCCCGGGCTATAACAGGACCCGAGCTGACATTTGCAAGAATGAATTACATACATTACAGCAACTGAAGATTTTATGTGATTATACATTTTTACAATTTGTGAAGAAAATGTGAGAGGTGCTTGTTAGTGCGAAGTTGCTGTTGGGGGTGGTTTGCTGGCCAAAGTCAACAGAGCCCACCTTCAAGGTGGATATCTGGAAAATTAAACTAAAAACACAAACATAATATCAATATTCACGGGATTATAAGAAAATAAGTGAATCTCTAGCTCTCTCACTGTCACAGTCCCTAGACACATCAAAGCCAACTTCTCGCTAAATAAATCAAACCAGACATCTGTGCAATTTATATTCTGAAATTTACATTTGCGCTGGACTTTCCTGCATAATAAGCAGGATAAAGAGATGTATATTTCCTTCTCCGATCACACAGAGGAAGGGTGTTGTTATGGTTACATGTAAATGCTACTGCAGAAAAAGAGAGAGACTCCCGAGAACGCTTCAAGGAGGTAAATAAGCAGTGCACACACACAACACAGACGCATGCTTCCGCGTTAAGAAATTGTGATGTTGATTCATTGTGACAGAAACACCGAAACATGCTGACTGAGGAAAATCACTCAATAACTGACTCATATCCTATCCTAACTCAGTCAGTATGTGAATGGAGTTGTGTATGCATTGCTTTTACATTGACATGTGCTTTCTATTCATAGTTTGCAGCCAACAGCGATCACACCTCTGCATTCATCTCATCAGAACTCAGTGGAGGCAAACAGGAAATTATACTTTTGTCATAATTTTCTGTTTCCCTCTACAGTTTTGTGGAAACTCCTGCCTCACAACCTTCTCCTTCCTCAACTGCAGAATTCTTAAAGTATAGTATACCGCAGGGGCCATATTGTATATTTATATTCAAGTTTCTTTTCCTGAGATACACTTATATTAGTCCATGACATGTTCAAGTAAAGTTCTTGTACCAAAACAGCAGTAACAAACTTTTTTTATCAGGATCAGCCAAGTTGCTGAATGTAAATATGGGAACTCAGCAGTTTGCAATAGTGTTGTTATTGTAAAATGGACAGTTCACCTGAAAAAATAAAATTCTGCTATCACTTACTCGCCCTAGTCCCAAATTTGTATGAGTATTTGTAGAATCCATACTATGGAAGTCAATGGCTACCGTCCACTGTTTGGTTAAAGTGTTATAAAAATCTGTTCTGATTTTAAAAA